TCCCGACTGATGGGAACTGGTAATCCTGTGCTCCACATGTGTCTATGCCAACCAATCCCACTTATTCCATTGCACTGACTTTATTGCCATCAGACTCTCTTCTGCATCCTGAGAGGATACTGGCACTGGACAGCCAATGGAAATTGTCCACATCACACTGGCAGTGATGTGGACACAGGATGGATCCCACATGGTGCGTCTGGAAAAAGAGAGAAGAATTGGGACCTGAGCATCAAGTGACCTCCAATTTAGGTCAGTACAAAGGAGCATTAGGGTAGGTCTTTTTTGCCACAGCTCAGCTTTAATGTGTATAGTGTGGGCACAGGTCGATTTTGTGTCAAGAAGGGCTGCACAGGTTATATCTGAAATGTTTTTATCAACTTGCCCTCCAGAAGATTTACCCCCCTTCATGACCATTGTTTTGTGATACGGCGCATCGTTACTTTACCTTACAATTGCACAGTCATGCAACTCTGTACATAAATTAAATTTATGTCATTTTTATCCCCACAAAATACAGATTTTTTTTTGGTGGTATTCAATCACTTTTTGTGGATTTTATTTTTTGCGCTGTAAACAAAAAAAGACCAACAATTTTGAAAAAAAAAAAACATTATTTTTGACATTTTGCTATAAAACATATCCAATAAAAAAATAAAACAAAAAAAAGTCTTCATAAATTTAGGCCAAAATGTATTCTGCTACATGTCTTTGGTGAAAAAAAAAGTTTGTATTAATTGGTTTACAATTATAGTGTATACAAATGATGAAATGTATATATATTCTGGAATTTTTATCTATTTATTTTTTCATACTAGTAATGGCGGCAATTAGTGACTTATAGCAGAACTGCGGGACTGCGGCGGGCATTCTGACACTAACTGACACTGGTTGGAAACCAACTAACTGCCACTGACATCTCCAGTGATACTAATACAGTGAGCAGTGCTAATAAAAAGCATTGACACTGTACTAATGACACTGCGTAAGAATAGGTGAACATCTGGGGCGATCAAACCCACATGGAAGAAACATATATTTTAAATATATTTTAAAAATATTCTTCCCAAATATTGTATGTTGAAATGTGTTTTTATATATTACAAAATATATCAAAAAAATATTTTTTAAAATATATATTTTTAAATATATTCTTCTGATTTTTTTTAACATCTAAAAAAGTAATTTGTTATGTTTTTACATATATTTGTAAATGCATTCCAAAAATGTAGATTACATGTATTTTTAAAGACATATAGTATATTTGAAAATGTATTTTTAAAAATAATTTTCAGATATTTTGTAATATATAAAAAAAAGGATTTCAGCATACTATATATATATATTTTGAAATATATTGAATACGGCCAAAATTGTAGTATTTCAAATATATACATTTAGGAAGAATATTTTGTTCCTAAATAGTTTGTCTAGAAATTTCAAGGGTGCCTAGCTTCAAGAAAAGGCTACCAGTGTTCTTTGTTTTCTTTTTTTATATTTAAAATATATTTTTCTTCCATGTGGGAAGGGTTAACTGTGTGCTGTTTTGTGTTTACTGTGTAGTGTTTTACTAGGGGACATGCTGCTTTCTATCTCTCTACTTTGCAGAGAGATAGAAAGTAGCATGTCCCCGTGTTAACACACAGATCTCTCCCGTTAGCTGCTCTGCCAATCACCAAGTCCCGACCATGAATCGCTGGCCGGGAACCGGTGATTGAAATCTTCGGGAGCCAATGACAGCACTGGTAGGGTTAGATATGCTAATGAACTGAAGGGATTTTAAAAGTGCGCTTACCCTTTAAGCTGGACTAGTTAAAGTAAGTTGTGTTACTTTGCATATCATAGCAACTGTCATCACTGTTTTTGAGCTCCACTGGTGTCTATAACGCAGGCCTTATAGAATTTTTGGCATATGTACAAACTTCTCAGGATCTCAGTCTCAAGATACAGATTTTTCATGTTCTTAGAATTTTGTGAATATGTGTTCATGTATGATGTATTCCTTATCTTCATTTTTTGCATGATGCATTGCTATCTTTTTTATTATGTAAAGTAACATTTAATGTTAACTTTACATTTGTCCCAAACCCTGGATTTGTGGCACCCCTTCTTTTCCTCTTCTACACTGTTTTCTTTGCTTGTCAGGAACAGTCTCAGGTTTGGAGGTTTGTCCATGGAAACGTATGTGGTTTTCATTAATGGCAAGAGTAAAACATAATTTATTTTTTATTAGCCTGCCATTATTGGACATTTAGTACTCAGTGATCCTCCAAAACAAACCAGAGTTCCAGAGTTCCTGGAAATAATTTTCAAATGTTGACAATTATACAGTGGTATTTTTACCCCATCTAACCACCTGTTAGGAATATTAAACACTCCAAATACACAGTGCTGCTCCCGTTTGCATTTTCTACCCTACGTTGCAAACAGTATTCTACAGATAGCAAAACATCAATTATATAATTTTCCCCACAGTGGACAACCTAAATCTAGTAGTCTCCCCAAGAGACAGACAGGGGTCTTAAGGCAGCTGCTATCAAATATTAAATCAAAATATAAAACCACGCATAAATCAGAAAATGATTTTGCTGGTGTTCACTGGTGGACTACAGAGGCATTTGTGCACAGAAAACCATTGGGACTCCTTTAGTGGTGCTATTTGTTACTGACCCAAACAATTGCCCAGCCATTTGTTTGGAGTGATGGCTGCCAGTCTCTGTCTATACCAGCTTTGCATGCTTGTTGTTGGTCAAGGATGCTCCTGCAAACACTTCCAAGGTGCAACTGCCCACCCTGTACCTTGTTCCTGTTTTATGTTTACAAACATCACCTATCGAGGTGCTTACTGCTGCTATCCATGTTATGTCCTGTCGTATCACCAGCACAGAAGGATCTGCAGACCTAGAATGTGATCACCACCAAGACTGGTCTGGGTAATCTGCAGTAAGGAGACCCACCATCAGCTCCCCATTCGTACCTGACTCACTATATTTCCTTCTGAGGTTCCTTCTATTGACAACTGATGAACCCTCGTATCTTTTTTGGAGCCCCTGTGCTCTTGAACAGGTTGCACAGGCAATATGTCTATCCCAGCTGGTGTCTTCAGAGAGCATTGCATGTGAGTAACTACAACGAGGATAACCACGTGTCATATAAGCCCTGCGTTGCCCACTTCACCTTCAGTGGATTAAGCCTGATATTTAGTTATATGAATAGGACAAGCAAAACTTTGCTTAGTTATTGGACAGTATATATGTAGAAGAAAACTGTTCATGCATAAACACACTGTGGGGAATGAAAATATTGTGGGGAGGTGCACAAGGTTCTGCAGCAGTGAAGACAGAGTCTGGTTGCGATAAACCTTGGAACTTGTACTGAAGAAAATGACAGATTACAAACACCCTAGGTGGGAGAGCACTTCTAGGGAAACACTCACAGTTCAGTTCAAATGCAGAGATACAGTGGGAGGAAATGTTCCTGGCCAGTCCGGTCCCAAAGAAGAGGCTTCCTTGCAGGATGGCGAATCCCTAACCTGCCCCTTCTTGTCTGGAACCTTATCCTGCCACTAGTCACTTTCCCTGACAGGTGGGGTCTCTCTCCCTACTCTATCCACTTCACAAAAGCACGCCAAAACCTGGGGCTGGGAGTTATGAAAGGCCCTGCTGACCCAAGATGGCCACCAGGGGTCACCTGGATGTAGCGTAGCCAACCGGAACGCTGCTTCCAAGACTCAGGAAACCATAGAGAAACCTTGTTTCCCTTGACTTCCTCTCCAGGTGTGGTACAACTCAGGTTGAGCGCCACCTACAGTGGAAAAAAATACTTCACCTGCCTACATGATTCTATCAGCATTTGACTCTGCTGTTCTTGGAAATTCTAAACCTTTGTGGTATCACAAGTAGTGGGTGGTTGCCCACATATGCCAATGAGGATCCTTAGTTGTAATGCAGTGGTTATGAATGGTGACCACCAAGTGTGTCCCTGGAAAGCTTTAGTGGCATTGTGGCCGGCAGGTTGGAACCACAATGTTCAGTGAGAGATGTAGGCATCCAACACACCCAGAAGTTTTTTGGCCAGGCTAACTCTACAAGGGAGTCGAAACCGAAGTCACCAGATTCTGCATTGGAAAGGATTACCATTTTTTATAGCTGGCTGTTTTTTGTCTTTTTTTAAGTTTTCATTAATACAGTTGCTTTATAAAACATTTTTAACTTGATGAAAGCAAAAAATGAAAAGAAAATGTACACTTAATACTGGATCCATGGCTGAGAACCTCATTACTATTATAGAAGTATGCAAATGAAGGTTCATTTTCTGATATGAAACAATACTCTATGGCACTGAAATGCCAAATCAGAAAGGGTTGGTCTTTGGCACAGAGGATCCCAGTGGAGGAGAGTATGCAACCAAGGCATTATATTTACATTAATGAGAGTTAGTGTATGGAATGGGGTTACAGGGAGAGTTTGTGTTAGGGTTGTGGTTACAGAAAGAGTTATTTGAGAGGCCAAAAGCTTCCAGAGCCAAGTTTCCAGAGGTAACAGCTAATATATTGTACCTATTAAGTCCAGAACAATTTTATATTAACCATCACCAACCACATAATACTCTTCTGCATTTAGTCACCTTTTTTTATTGCAGAAAGTGGACTATTACAATCTGAATTACCCATGCTCAAATCCCAACCCAATTTACCTTTTCCAGGTTGTTCAAGCTGCCTGTGGGTATAAAGGAATGAGAAAATATTTTGTGTCTTCCTTTCCTTTGTCCAACATGCAGTACAGACTTTTTTCAGTGTTTCAGCATGAACCCATCTATTGTTCTGCACCTGCTTAAGGAAACAATTACAATCAAAACATTTCTAGATTAATGTTATATAAATAAAATAAAAATGTGTCTGTCTTAGGGTTTACATATTGTGGCTTAAAGACATACTGAGGGTACAATGGGCAATAATGGTTTTAAATGGCACCAGTTAATCTTGTACTTGTCCTACCATAGGTGGGGGGCAGGGATTTCCTGCTTGCTTGTCCTGCATTCCAAGTAAAAAGAAAAAAAAGTTTGGTAAGTCTTAACTGCATTTTTATTGTTAAAGTATTGATGTAATTAAAGTGTTACTAAACCCAAGACCCTGCATTCACTATATCTGGTCTCCCACAGAACATGGAAGTGCAATTATTTTAGTAATTATAAACTGCCAAGATACTTTTTCTTATCAGCAATTAGAGCAATCTTGTGACTTCAGCAGAGCACTGGTTAAAGCTTGCAGGATGAGTTTTATTTCTGCTCTAAGAGGATGTAAAACCACTGACCCTCTGTCTGAACAGTGCTGATTGGCCCTGTGCTGAACACATGCACTCTCCCAAGAAAAAAAAAACCTCTCTAGCAATATACACTAAACTGAGCTTGTGCATGTGGCTACGGGTTCAGTCTGTCTTATCAGGTGGACATTTGAACAAGAGGAGGGGCAGAGAAAACAGGATCAAACGGCCTTTTTACACAATGCAGAGCATTAACCCCTTAGGTTCCACAGTGAGTATAACAAGCATGCTTTACTGCATATACAGACTGATTTTACTGTTGTGAGTTTAGTAACACTTTAAGGTTTATACATAATACTTGTCTGTGTACCATGGCTTTCTTTTACATTACAGATGATGGTTCCCATGTATTTCTAGAAAACCTGCAAAGACTGGTTTGCTTTAAACCTTCTCTGTCAATAAAGTGCCCCAGATCTTAGAGGCTGACAGATACCCCTTATGCAGGCCATAGATGGGTCAAAAATAGGCCGATTTTTCGGCTGAAAATAAAATCAGTCGATGTTCGGATCGTTAGTGGGTTAATTGTTCGGCTGTTTTTCTGTATTTGGCAGTTTTTTTTATCGGTAAAGTTGGAAAAAGATTGTCCGATTTTGCCGATTGGCCGATTTTCGTGGCAATTATGGGCAAATTGGCCGATCTTTTTACCGATAAAAAATCTGCGCATGAGCCGTGACCTGCAAGAGGAAGACAAAAAGAAGAAGAAAAAGAAGAAGAGGATGAAGAAGAGGAAGAGGATGAAGAAGAAGAAGAAGGAGAGGAAGAAGAGGATGAAGAAGAGGAAGAAGAGGATGAAGAAGATGAAGAAGAAAAAGAGGTAGAAGAAGAGGAGGAAGAAGAAGAGGATGAAGAAGAAGAAGAATTCCAGTCCGGCTAAAAGTGTCCCTGCAGAGAGCTCCGCTATTTCTTTGACAGTGCTTTGACATTTATAACGGTTGCAACAATGTATCTATTTGTTTCCGAATAAAAACATCTGTATCCGAAATGGATACAAATAGATACATTGTTGCAGCCGCTATAAATGTCAAAGAATTGTCAAAGAAATAGCGGAGCTCTCTGCAGGGACACTTTTTACCGGCTGTAGACGGGATGAAAATTGGCCGATTTTTTTTTTTTTACCGTTCCTGGTAACGTCGGCCGCTTGAACGACTGATTTTTTGTTTTTTTAAAGAAAAATCTGCCGGTTTTCTCCCCAACTATGGCCTGCATTAGACATTACATTTATATGTCAGATATGACCACACCCTGTCTCTTGAACAATTTTACTAGTCACACCTGCTCGTAACTTTCACTATGAAGCAAATAGCAAAAGAAATAGCAATAGGATGGTCCTGGGCAGTTTATTCTTCACATGTATGGACAACTTTTTTCTACAAGATTTTTGTTAACATTTTATTTTGTATAAACCTTAATATTTTAGATAGATTTGACACATTTACAGAGCCTAGCAAGTGGATGTTGTTCTGCTTGTTACATAATCACTGCTTTATAGCCTGTTCATTTTAGTATTGCATTTGCAAAAGAGTAGAAAGTTCATTTAGCCCAGGGTATCTATGTTCTATTCAAATACACAATCATGGCTCAAAGACAAAATAGTAAATATGCCATGCACGTTGCGTGATGATAAAGTGGACAGGGTCTACGTACCCTACTCCTTTATTAAATCAACCCAAATGTGTTGACATAATGGTGTGGATTTACTAAAGGCAAACAGGCTGTGCTTTGCAAGGGAAGTTGCACATTTCAAGTGAAATTTTACTTTGCTAAAGAACACTCATTCACATCATGCAAGGAAAATGAAAAACAGCATTTTGCTTGCACATGATTGGATGATGGAAATCGGCAGAGCTTTAGCTCATTTACTACGCTCTAGGAAAAGGTCCTTTGCAACGTGCTTCATCCCTTGCCTTTAGTAAATCAACCCCACTGTTTAATTTGTTAGAAAACTAAAAGACTAATATTTTTTTCCATTTGCCCCAATATGTCAACCTGTTTAAACAGAAGAATGGACCTAATAGCAACATGAGTTTTCAATTGTTCATATCTGAAATCTAGGTAGAGCAGGCATGCAACACATTGGTTACATTCACACAAAAAATCTAATTTAACCACTTCATGTCTGGACACTTTCACCCCCTTCCTGTCCGGGCCAATTTTCAGCTTTCAGTGCTGTCACACTTTGAATGACAATTGTGCGGTCATGCAACACTGTACCCATATACATTTTTTAGAATTTTTTTGAGGCAGATAAAACTTTATTTTAGTGGTATTTATTCACCACTGGAAATTTTTGTTTTTTTTTTTTGCTATAGAAATGAAAAAGTTCAAACATTTTGAAAAAAGTTTTTCTTATAACATTTTGCAAATAAATCTTTCTTCATAAATCGTGTCCAAAATGTATTCAGTTATATTTTTAGTAAAAAAATAATCCAAATTAGTTTATAACCAAAAATTATAATTTTTCAAAATTTATTTTTACATTTTTATTTTATTTTTTTTATATTATTATTTATGTTTTTTTTAACATACTGTCACCCTAGCAGTACAGTGTCATTATGGTGACACTGTACTACTTGTGGGGGGTGATGAAGATTTTTTTTGTTTTTTGTTTTTTACACTGATTGCTTTTACACCCATAAAGGCTGTGAAAGCAATCATTTCTCCTACTCTCTGGCTGCATTCTTGCAGCCATTGAGAAATACTGTGTGATCTGTGATTGGTCACAGCTTGTCACATGGTAAAAGGCTGTTGTGAATAGCCTTGTACCATGTGATCTCTGTGATCATTCACAGATTTCACACATAGTAAGCAATGAGTCAGAAGTGACATCTTGCTTGCACCTATTCATGTGATCACTGATTGGCCAAGCAGTGATCACATGATTGGGACCTCACACAGAGGTCCCATACAGCAATTGGTGTTCCACTGTGTCCGGAGGACACAGCGGGCATCGGATCGTGGTGCCGCACGCTCCCAGGGAACGTGCATAATCCAAAATGCGCTGTTTATGGATGGCAACCCGCCCCTGCACTGCCACCATCTGGCCGTTTATATACAGCAGCTGGACAGAAAGTGGTTAAAGTAATATTAAAGGTTTGTTTTTGGGTGTTTTTTAATAATTATAATTTTAATACGGAACCATGTTGATTGCTATTGAAAACTTGCCTGCTTTTTCCACCTGTTTTCTTATCTTGTCAAAAAGCCCTATTTAATGATGACTATCAAATAATGAAGGCATAAAGAAAACATGGCCAAAGAAATGAGGTAAGGAAGACAAAGACATACCTGAAGATCCAGTTTCCTGAACCAAGTTGTGGAGCAGCTGACTCTTTAAGAAATTTGAGCATGCACACCTGACCACATCTGAAGACCTAGATATGCTTGGCATTCCTGCCAAACTTTTATATTGCATACATGACAAAACAAATTAATTATAATTAAAAATGAATGGCAATATTTCGATTTTAGCAGTGAGACCACATCTCCAAACAAGCCAAACAATTTATATCCGGTTAGGTAAAGTTGTTGATAAAGCTAAGGAAGGTTGTATAAGCAAATTGTAGCATGTGGGACCAGCTTAGAACAACATGGTCAGCCATGATTATCTTCTACTATAGCAGCTTTTATCTCTACTAGAATATTTTTCAGTTTCAAAATATTAAGCTTTATATGTGAGCACCTGTCATCAGTAAAGAAATCAATCTTCTGGTCATTTCTATTTTGTTTTTAGTGAAAGAGATCCCAATTCTTGTGAAATACTCTGAATATGAAAAAGCCCTGACAACAGATACTATGATCAATGTGACGGCAGTGTGTCAAGTCGAAGGCTGGGGTGATCTAATGGTGGAAGGAACCGTTACATTAAAGAAACCGAATCTCATAGTTAAGGTAACTGTCCTTTTCACATTATGTTTTTTAAAATTCCAAATCAGTCTCATTTTTAGAAATTTTGCAGACAGTATCCTTAAACAAGCATTTTATTCTTTTTATTATGTTGTATACTATTCCTACCTTTCCTAACTACAGTATGTGTGTTTATTTTTTCAATGAATGCAAAGTATTCTTTGATTGAACAAGGTGGAGATCGTGATATCACCGTATTGCCTCTCCATCTCATTCACCTCACTGAGAAAATGCAAAGTGTTCTCTGAATGGCCACTGTGCCAAGCAAGCAACCTCCTATGTTAATAGTGCAACAGCCACTCAGCATAGGATCTGGAAGCAAGCAGAGATCAGTGCTATAGTGGTGTCTACTACAGTGATATCCAACTTCTAGAGCAGTGGACTTCAAACTGTAGCCCAGGGGCCAAATGCCACCCTTTGCATACCTTTATCTAGCCCTTGGGAAACTATTCCTCCCACTGATAGGAGGCACTATTCCTCCCACTAACAACAACAATGGGACAATACTTCCTGCACTGATGCCAACAGTCTAGCACTATGCCTCCCACTGACACCAATGATGGGGCACTATGCCTTCCATTGACACCAATGATGGGGCACTATGCCTCTCACTGACACCAATGATGGGGCACTATGCCTCTCACTGACATCAATGATGGGGCATAATGCCTCTCACTAACACCAAAGATGGAGCACTCTACCTCCCACTGACACCAAAGATGGGGCACTTTGCCTCCCACTAACACCAAAGATGAGGCACTCTGCCTCCCAATAACACCAAAGATGGGGCACTCTGCCTCCCACTGACACCAATGATGGAGCACCATTCCTCCCACTGTCACCAACAGTGGGGCACTATGCCTCCCAATGACATCCATGATGGAGCACTATTCCACCCACTGACACCAACAATGGGGCACTATTCCTCTCACTGACACCAATGAAGGGGGACTAATATTTCCCAGGATATAAAAAAATGGGATAATTGTTTACTCCCCACTGATGTGAGGACAATTTTAATTCTCATTGACCATGTTCTAGGCCGCTTAAAGTCTGAAGCACTGTAAACTGGCCCTTTGAAAATTTGGAGAACCTGGTTCTGGAGGGATGCAACAGGTTTGGCATATGCATAGTTACATCTGTCCAAGCTGGACCAATGTAATATTGTAAAAATATCCATACCTGGATTTCTATTTTAACTTAACCGGCTCATGAGGTTTCATTTTTTTTTGTTTCTATTGTGCAGGAAAATTGGGAAAAAATTGACTGAAGTGAGCACAGCTTTATCTGGCCAAGTAAATATTTTAATGTTTGGTGAAATAATCCCACCATTTGAGGAGTCTTTATTTTGTGCTGGCCCCTGCAATCTGTTCTTGTATTTAGTAAATATTTTGTATTTAGTAAGTATATAAATCAATTCTATTGTAACTTTTGTCCTTTCATCTGTCAGGTTATTGGACTAGTCAAGGTGGGCAATTCAGTGACTGTTGAAGTTAAATTTACTAATCCTCTGCATCTCCCAGTGAATGATTGTGTGCTCACAGCAGAGGGTAGTGGTTTAACAGACCATGAAGTAAGGAAAAGGTGAGTACAATATGACAGAGAAAAGAAGTTTTGGGGTTTTTTTTGGTGATCATTTACACTGCTATAATTGCTAGCAACATCGCTAGGAGAAGCTATCTATACGTTGTGCAGAAACAATTGTCCTGGTTGGGGAGCCTGACATGGCGAGGAGGCGTCCTCTTACTACTCCAGCTCGGAGCCCCTGATAGTGGGAAGAGAAGGCGCAGAGCCAAGAGTGGCACGAGTGCCGGGTAGGTCTGGAGCTGGCGGCAGGTAGGTGAAGACCCAGGAGATCCAAATGCAGGCCAGGTGCAGATGCAGGAATGTAGGTGCAGCAGCAGGCAGGTATGGCGGTAATCAGGATGCAGACTGGGACTGGACACAGGAGCGTGGATGCGGCAGCAGGCAGGTACGGCAGTGACCAGGATGCAGGCCGGGTGCAGGATCGTGGGTGCAGCAGCAGGTAAGTATGGCGGTGACCAGAATGCAGACCAGGTGCAGGACCGTGGGTGCAGCAGCAGGTAAGTATGGCAACCATCAGGATACAAGCCAGGTGCAGATACAGGTAAGTAGGTGCAGCAGAGTCAGACAAGCCGGGTCAGGATCAAACGAGCAAATCAAGTACAAGGGAGCAGACAAGAGGATAGTCAGGGATAGCCGGGGTTGGTGCAGGTGGAGTTCTCTCTTAGTCAGGGTCAGATCAGATACAGGCAACAGAATCAGCTTTTGGAGTGCAGGACGTTATAGACCAGAAGGCATTGATTACACTGTATTGCAGGTTTAAAAAGCCCGACTTGCGGTGACGTGTACGCTACTGCGCATGCGCCCACTTGCGCACTCCTGCGCATGCGCGCCTGCACGCTCCCGCGCATACGCACTCGCACCGCCACAGCCCGAGGGAATCCGTCGCACAGCTGCACGGCGGCAGGATCCCTGACACAAATGGAACCAATGGTTTTCTGTAGTTTAGGTCACACAAGTACTATGTAGTAATTTAATTCTCCTGAAAAGTAACAAAGACTGCCCCCTGCAATGGGCAACAGTTCAGTTTCTGGTTAAAAAACTTCACAAAGGTTTCCTTCCTTTGGGCAAACTTCTTGCAGCAAGCCATTGCCTGAGTTCACAGCAATGACTCCCCCAAACATACTTCAGCATGGCATGTCCAGGCATGAGTCAAAGTACCTTCTGGTCACAGGAAGGTAAAAGAAGGGATTTAGAACTAGGGCGTTATCCCTTTAAGTTGCAGTTTCTTTAAACTTGAGCTTGAAACAACTGGAAAGTTCTTCTCCTGCACTTGAGTAGAACAAAAGTGAGCAGATGTCCTTTCGCCTCAACATCAGCCCACGTAGACTTAACTTGAGGAAACAAAGAGTTCTCTAAGCTTCAGGGGTTTACCCCCTCCAGTTTGTGGACCTGGGTGTTGGATAGGAGAAGTCCTCCTCTTTTTTTCTTTGAGATACCAGTCCTAGATCCCCAGATGCTCTCCTCTTCAATTTGCAAGGATAGAAGGGGTAGGGGAATTTGGAAATACAGGGATTGCCCTCTTATTGCAGCTACAACTGTAGCAATCCTAATAACCTGTAACAGAACTTGTTAGTAACTTTCCTCAGCAGTAAAAATCTGGATGATGTATCTGGACCATATTTCCATCAGGGCTCCAGACATTGCTGGCTCACACTTGGCTTTGCTGTCCGACTCCCTTGATCACCACTATGTCAATGAAGATGGTTCTTCCCAGGCTCCAGTTTTCTTTGACAGACAGGAACTCCTCCCAGAGTGGAGGTTTGGATCTGTTGCAGAAGGGCTTAGGGATGTACATAAAATCCCATATGGCCTGGTCACATCAGGAATCCCTCTTGATCTCTATCTTCTCCATGACCTTCCTGAGTGCATATGGATAATCCTACCCATACTCCAGGGCTACTTTCCGTTGCATGATGCACTGGAGGCCTGAGAGGCCTATCTCTGATTGTGCCGTGGCTTCTTCCTGCTCTCCTTCACTCCTGTATTCCTCCTTCTGTCCGATCTATCCTGTCTCCTATCTGCCCAGCCTATATATCTCCCCTGTTCTCTCCCCGGTCCCCTGCCTCCCTGACAGTCACAGCCCACCAGCTCTATTCCGTTCCTGTAGCTGTCCTTTATCTTCTCTCAGCACAGCTCTATGATCTCTACATTCACTGCTACAAACCTCTCTTTCCTTATAATACAACCCTCCCCCGACTGTCATTACCTGTTCCCTCTGCAAATCTATATATCACTGCTCAACTCTTTATTTAACTGATTATTTACTGATCTAGTTAATGTGTCCCATTTCCTATCACCTACAGCTCAAATCTAGCATTATAGTAAAATTCCTAATTGAATGTCACCACTAGTCTTATTGCATTCACAATTCCAGGTCAGTCCCATTTCTTTACCTAGAATAACCTTTAGGACTTGTTCACACCATTTGTGGTGCAGCAAAGCATGCAAGAGCATGCATTTTCCTGCACAGCAAAGAAACGCAATTCCCTTTGCATATGGGCACAGGTACCATGAATACTTAATTGTACCTCCATACATCTAGTAAACCCAGATGCATTTACAGCCACCAAAACACATGGTATTACACTACTGTGCGGTTAGGTGCAACACACTTTTAAAAAATTATGCCTGCAGTATTTTTGCATGTTCCCACATTAGGCAGCCCATTGAAATTAACGGGCTGAGGAAAAAAAATGACAAAAATGCAACATGCACTGTTCACGTGGTTGGAGCCACCTGGTACACTATGGGGACACAGCAGCTGTACGAACACAGGTTTTAATCTGACAGGTGTGCAGGTGTGGGGAAGTGGCCCTGAATGATCACTATGTTAAGGGCTGTACACCTGCACCTATATGCCTGTCAAATTAGGACCTTCCAGAGTGTAACATAGGTTGCCTGCAAGCAGCTCCAGCCACAAAAACAAACCACTGATTCACACTCTACAGGCCACAGCACCCATGTGATTGAGACAAACAATATAAGGAACTCTTTCAGAGCACTAGAGGCTCATATCCTGTGAACAGGGGTGGACTGACCATTTGGAAACTCGGGCACTGCCCGAGGGCCCGGGGTCAGTAGGGGGCCCCATGAGATGCCCCTGGTACCTTTTTCATAGGCTTTTTTGAGTGTGGGAAAGGACACAGGGGCCCCATGAACCCCTATTGCCCGGGGTCCCCATGAGTTGTCAGTACACCCCTGCCTGTGAATATACAAAAGTCCATAAGTCCATAATGTCTATAACTGCTTAGGTGGCAGCCATCCCAGAGTAAGCCAACTCTCTAAGGATAATGTATAGGAAGAAAAAGAGAGAGGCGCCTTCTAAGTGCAGTATTACACAACTTAATAAGCCGCTATATACATAAAAACTCACAAGGGTGAAGTAATAAAGCCCATAGATAAAGAATGATCTCTAGGTATGCCGCCGTCATCCACATCCTGCAGACGTCCATCTGACTGCCATTGGCCAATCAGTGATCACATGCAAAGTAGTAAGCAAGATGTCACTTGTGATATCATTGCTTACTACCTGTGAAATCTGTGAATGATCACAGAGGTCACATGGTACAAGGCTATTCACAACAGCTTTGTACCATGTGACAAGCTGTGACCAATCACAGCTCACTCAGTACTTCTCAATGACTGCAAGAATGCAGACAGAGAGAAAGAGAAATGATTGCTTTTACATCCTATATGGGTGTAAAAGCAATCAGTGTAAAAAAAAAAAAAATCTTCATCACCCCCCACAAGTAGTACAGTGTCACCATGGTGACACTGTACTGCTAGGGTGACAGTATGTAAAAAAAAAATAAAAATAAAAAATAATAATATAAAAAAAAAAAAAATGTAAATAAAAATGTTTAAAAATTATAATTTTTGGTTATAAACTAATTTGGATTTTTTTTTTTACTAAAAAAATAACGGAATAAATTTTGGCCAAGATTTATGATGAAATATTATTTTTATGTGCAAAATTTTATTAAAAAAACACTTTTTTTTCAAAATTTTTGAACTTTTTCATTTACATAGCAAAAAAAATAAAAATCCCAGTGGTGAATAAATACCACCAAAATAAAGCTTTATCTGTCTCAAAAAAATGGCAAAAAATTCATTTGGGTACAGTATTGCATGACCGCGCAATTGTCATTCAAGGTGTGATAGTGCTGAAAGCTGAAAATTGCCCTGGACAGGAAGGGGGTAAAAGTGTCCGGACAGGAAGTGATTAACCAGCATCAGATATACAGATACACTGTATACCATAGTTTGTAAACTCTATAACTTTCTTACAGACTAAATAATAAATACTAATTTGGGTTATTTTCACCAAAGAAATGTAGTAGAATACATCTTGGCCTAAATTTATGAAGAACAATTATTTATTTGCAAAATTTTATAACAGAAATAAGTGAAAATGTGGGGTTACTTTTAAAAATTTTAGTTTTTTTTCATTAATTTAGCAAAAAATAAAAAAACAATGTTGATTAAATACCACCAAAAGAAAGTTCCAGTTGTGTGAACAAAATAATAAAAAATTAGTTTGGGTACTGTGTTGCATGACAGCACAATTGTCATTCTGTGTTAGGGCTCGTTCACACTTGACTGTTTTACCAACGCTTGCCAAACGCCCCTATAGCGTTTGGCAAGCGTTGGTCTGGCATTTGCGGAGCGTTTTTTTAATGCTCGGCAAACGCTCTGCAAACGCCGCATGCGCGGTTTAGCGTCAGTTGCTAGGTGTTTGCCGAGCGTTAAAAACGCCCCACAAACGCCTATAATGAAGTTTAAATGGTGTTACCGCTCTGCAAATGCCCCGCAACCATGTCGCAACCGTGCTGCAAACGCCGGCCGGGTGTTTGCGGAGCGGCACCATAGACTAGAATAGGAGGCTTCAACGCCTCCTGACTTGGCCAGAGGCGTCCATTTTGCCGCGACGTGACGCTAACGCTCCCCTTAGAACAGCACCATGTGCTGCAATGTGCAGAATTGTCTGAGGCATTT